TCCCATCATCAGAATTTCTTGCAGTGGACATCTAATGGAGCCCGTGAAGGATTTTTCAACGAGAATGAATGAAGGAGAGATGGCTGAATTTTGAAGGCAAAAAAAGTAGACTGTGAGAGGGGATCTTCCAAGCATATGCTTTAGTTATTTTTTGGATGAGGATCAGTAGTTATCACCATGGGAAGTTAAAAGTGGGGATTTGTGCCCCTCACCCTCCTGGCTGTTTTCTGGCGCATGTTTAATTTGGACAGCTAGACACCAAACCCTCCCTCCAGTAGCATAAATTTCATATTAAAGGGTTAAATTGATAAAATAGTTTTTTAAATAATATAAATATAATTTTTTTAATTATATATATTTTAATAAAAAAAATTATTTAGAAAAGCTAATTATATTTTAATATATTTCATGTTAAATTAATTTTAATATAATTATATAACTAATTTAGATATTTTATATACAATATAATTATGATGTTATTAATTATATAATTAATATGAGTAATTTATAAAAGTAATATAAAATTACTGAAGTAATATGAAAGTTAAAAGATATAATTTAAAATTTATTTATATGAATATTTTTAATTTTTAGTTTTATATGTTACTGTTAAAAATTTAATTTTTTAAAAGTAAATTCAAATTCAAACTTTGAAAAAAAACCACCAACATTTTAAATTTTAAAATTTAAAATTTTTAAAAAATAACTGCCAACATTTTAATTTTAAAATTTAAAATTTTGAAAAAATAACCGCCAACATTCTAAGATTTTAAAATTTTAAAAAATAATCCATCTATAAATATTCTCATATATCTTAATATTTTTGTCTCATCATTTTTTTCTCTCCAATCTTTATTATATTTCAATAACATTCATCATGAATCATTTTAATTTTAATTTTAATTTTTATGATACTTTTGATTTTGATGATAACATTCCTGTGTTCGCTTTTCAAGTTACTACCGCTGTGGTTGTTGAAGAAAAATTGAATAATCAAGGGCAGAAAACAAGGTATCATGCCTCTATTCTTGATCATAATATTGTCAATCATAATAGAAAGGAAGTTGAGTTAAGGTTATTTAATGATTATTTCATTGAAAATCCTAAATTCACTAAAAGTCAATTTCAAAGAAGATTTAAGACGAGTCGTCGTCTTTTTCTTGAGATCACAAATACAATGGAAGCTCATAATCCATATTTCAAATAAACACAGATGTTCTTGGTGTTATTGGTTTATCTTACCTTCAAAAGGTAATTGCAGCTCATGAAATATATATATTTTTTTACATTTGAGAAAACCCCACCCCCTAGAAAGCACACTTTGTGGGTTTAAATGAGCGAATAAAACCCCAGTTGTTCCAAGCTTTTATAAGAGGTACACACCCTGACTCGAACTCGAGATCTGTTGTGCAGATCTCAAGCTTTTTGCCATCACACCACACCTCTTGGGGACCTCACAAAATACTTGCATATGATATTTCTGCAGATCTTACTAATGAATGTCTTCGAATTGAAGAAACCATTGCGATAAAAAGTCTTAGAGCTTTCATTAAAGCAATTGTAGAAATTTTTAGTGATTGGTATCTAAGGGTACCAAACGAGACTGATATTTGTTGATTATTATCAATTGGAGAGCAACGTGGATTTTCAGGGATGTTAAGGAGTATTGACTGTATGTATTAGAAATAAGAGAAATGCCTAATTGAATGACATGAGATATATACTAGTCATTGTCGTGAACCAACTATAATTCTAGAGGTAGTGGCTTCACAAGATCTTTGGATATGACATGTCTTTTTTGAAATGCTTGGATCATTAAATGATATTAATGTTCTTGATCGATCATCTATCTTCGCTGCACTTGCTAAAGGTTATACTGCTCCTGTCAATTATACAATTAACAGGTATGCATATACAATGAGATACTATTTAGCAAATGAGATTTATCCTAACTGGTCAACCTTTGTTAATACAATCCCAAGGCCATTAGAAGTAAAGAGAAAATAATTTACAAGTAAGCAAAAGTCTGCAAAAAAGGATATGGAATGGGCATTTGGGGTGCTGTAATCTCGTTTTGCAATTGTACATGGAGCTATTTGATATTAAGATGAAGAAACACTTGTAAATATTATGAAAGCTTGCACAATAATGCATAATATAATTATTGAGGATGAAGGAGCAATGAAACTTAGATTTGACCATAAATGTAAAATCAATTTTTTTATATCAGTATTATATGGTGAAATACTAGAACTACATGATTTTCTTCAAACTTATAATCGAATCAGGAATAGAGCAACCAACACTCAACTTCAAGAAGATTTGATTGAATATTTGTGGGAATAATATGGCAGCAAGTAGAATCATTAGATTTGAACTTCTTATGTCATCATAAGTTTCAAGTTTTTTATGTTTTTTTTTCATTATGGTTATTATCTTTTAAGTTAATTAATTTCACTTATTAGTGTTAAGTATTAGAGGAACTTTAAAAAAGTATTATGAATTTGATATCAATTTTATAACAATATATTTAAAATAACTAATAATTTTCTACATATTTAATTAAAAATACATTACTTTACAATAAATCAATCAAGTTAATTAAAAATCAAACCCCTCTTTTGCATATTTTCTAGCTTTCTATTTAGAAAATACACTAGAGATATTGGATCCAAATTATAAATATCCATTTTCATAATTTGCTTTTCTTTCTCAATCCTGTCCAATTCTTGTTTCTCTTAACTTTGTTGAATCATTATAACTTTTTGTTCTAACATAATTTTCCTGTCTAGTTTCTTTTGATCCTCAATTTCAACTAGGGTATCTCTGAATTGTTGTAAGAGATTTGTTACAGTTATCTCCCCAGCTTTATCTTTTTCTTATCTCCGTTTAAGTCGTTCATTTGTAGCCTTATAATCGATTAGTCTATCTTGATAAATCAATAGTTCACTATCTTCTCTTAAACTAACAGAATCAGATGTAAATGGAGTTGATAAAACCAGACTTGCATTGACATGTCTTTTTTGTTTCTTGTTTGACCTTTGATATTGACTTGTACACTTAAATTGTCATTTGAGTTTTTTTTCTTAAAATAACCCAACCATGTTCTAGTTGAAATCGTTTGCTAACGCAAAAGGTATACATTTGCCGAGCATCATTAATCTGGTAAAAAATTAAAAAAAATTCAATAATGTTAAAATATGTGTTAAATAATTTAACATGAAAAATAAATATTAAAATTACCCTTGAATCTTCAGTCATTCCACTTTGCCGATGATTTTCAATTTGAGTAACAAATCCAACAAATTCACCAACTTTTTTATTTATTTTTTGCTATCTACTTGAGATGCTTATTTGGAAATGATTATTCAAGCTTTCTCCATTCTCTACAAAGTAAGCATGTACTCGAGCCTATAATTATTTTTATTTATTGTTCAACTTCTTTAATTGGATCCTTGCTTGTATTTAACCATGTAGAGACAAGTAAACAATCTTCTTCTGGTGAGAAGTTTTTACTTCTTTTTTATTTTTTTATTATATGAACATTTAAATTCAAGCATGTTAAATCATTAATTAATTGATTAGAATCACTTGGTTGAGAGAAAATATCTTCTGACTCGCTCATAAGAAAGTTGGTAAAAGAGTTTGGAAAATTTGAATTTATCTATATTAAAAAACACCACTCAAGTTAAAACCTTATAACAGGGTGTAAAGAAAGCTTACATTCAATGTCAAGCAATTTTATAGTTTCCATACATGCGAATTAATAATAAGAATTGTCTTGTACTTGTTATAACATTAATCTAATCATACAACTATTATAATTTAATCATTTTTAAGCACTAAACGAGAATTGATATACTAGTTTAGTTGTATTTTTAATAAGACAAAATATAATTAATCTCAAATTAAAATAGATAATCAAAAATAAATTTCAGATATGTCCCTCCATATTTTTATTAATATCTGCTACCATCATTATTTCCTTTCAATTTTGTCAAAAATAACAATATAAATAAAACTTCTCTTTCTTAACCCATATCAAAAACATAAAATAACAAAGAAATAAAAATCATCGCAAATAATAAATTAACAATAAAAGATCTAAAGAATTAAGAGAAGTAAAATAAAAAATATAAAAAGTCTTTAAGCAAATATACCCTTTGATTGTAGCTAATTAACTCAATTGGTGTTATTAATTAACCGTGGGACAATTGATTCTTATTTTTCTAAATTAAAGAGAAGGGTAAGGCATAATGCAGGTTTTGAAATTTACATGTAAGTTTACTAAATTTTGTTCTGCTTTTAAAAGAAAAAATTAAACGCTTTCTTTCTTCTATTTGTTTAATTTTTATAAAAAAAAAATTAACTTTGGCCAACGAATACGAAATAAAAACGTTGACCAATGGATATAAATCAACGGAAAAAAAAGTAATCAACACTATTATTTACATTTACCTTTTACTACAAAGAAATATAGAAATGGTAATTACTATGTTCAATAGCTATTTTAGCTGTCTATGTAGCTACCTGGTTGGAAATGCTCTAAAATAACATTTAGTAAGGGAGCCAAAAAAATATTTTTAAAAAAATATTTTTAATTAATTTTTAATTATTTTAATATGTTGATATTAAAAATAATTTTTTAAATAAAAATATTTTAAAATAATAATTATTATCATAATATCAAATAAACATTATCTAACTAACAACATAATAATTGTGAAACCAACTTGGTTTTACATGTTTATTTGAAAATTTTACCGTTTAAAATCTAATTTTAATTAGAAGCGGTCAAAATTAATCAACTTATAAAGTGATCCACAATCTAATTATCTTGTAACCAAAGAATTAAAAAAATAAACTCAAACATAATTTCAAATAAATATAATAAATCAAAACTGTTAATCATATATAGCCCTTTTCTAAGATAGACTCGAGTATAGTGGTGACAGCCGTGATTCGCACAATACACCATTTAATAATAGTCTTCGTGCAAAAAGCATAAAGCATCGTCTACCTATTTATAAAGATGAGAATACAATAAAAAACTCGAATCCAGTACAGTATAATTACTGGCAGACGATTCTCGAATTCTAATAATCACAGACACACACGACTGCTTTATTATACCTGCATTGCATGTTTTAAGAAAATTGTTTTTACAGCAGTATAATATTTTTATACCCTTGAAAACCCTATATACAAAGTGAAGTAAAATGCAGTCAGCATAGGAAGGTCCCCAGTTATTTACAGTGTAGCTAGGACCCCAGTTGAAACTTCCTAGAAGCTATCGTTCTTGTGTGCCCTCAAGTCAGGGTCATCGAATAAATCCTCGTCATTGGCAAGTTCATTCAACTCATCAAGCATTGATTGGTTAACCCTTTTTCGAGACTGTCTTCTATGCTTCTTGGGCTCCAGGCGTGGTTCTTCTTGCTGGACACCCATGTCTCCAACCTTGTACCTGCGATACTCAGAATTCAGATAACTTGAACAAGAATATGGGTAAAAGTAGGCTACACTGACAGCAAACCAAGCCACAATAATGGAAGTCAAGCCTAAATTAATAACGATAACAAACTACAGGGGGCAGAAGCATAGAGGAAGGTTCATTTGCTATTAGTAATTAGTAATTAGTAATTAGTAATTAGAAGCATAGAAGAAGGTTCCTAAATTAATAACGATAACAAACTAGGGGGGGCAGAAGCATAGAAGAAGGTTCCTTTGCTATTAGTAATTAGGTTATAAACTACTGGTAGGCATTCATTTTAAGAAAAAAATTTGCCGACTTCTTACTTCTTACTTCATATTTTTGCTTCTACAAATTAGAATTTCTTACTTTTCAAATATAGCAAGGTTAAGCTGTTTGAAAATAGATAAATTCTAAGGAAATCTAGTGCTAATCATAATCCTATGAGAAATCCTTGGAGACATGAAAGGAACAATTGAAACAAAAGACAAGTAAGGAAGATCTTTCGTTACATCTGGAGTGAAACCTATAGCAGATGCAGTTTCTGTTAACTCGGTGATTCACATTGTCATGATTTTCTCTTGATGCATTAATGTTCAAGTGACAAAAGATACTAAACCAGCTATTTTCGTACCCTCGTATTACTGTGCATAAGTTATGGTGCTTGTTACAACATCTACTCACTGCAGGGGTATTTTCAAAACAACTGGTAAACTAAACACGTATTACAAGCAAGGTCCCCTTACTCATTTACTATTGAAATAGACGTACCTTACGTTATCCTCCCTTTTGGTTCCAAATGTCCTTAACTGAAATTCCTCCCTGATTTTGATCTCATCAAGAAGCTGAAAATACAGGGGATACCTTTCCCAATCCCCTTTCACTATGCACCCAGGTTCGCCAGCATGCAAGCAATCTTTGAATGTGCATTTAGCCGGTTCATTGACACTAAGCACTGTCCTTATCTGTAATAAACAACATCAACGTAGAAACCAGGTGTCAACACAGCAACGATTCAACAAACACAAACCAAGCAAAACATCTAGTGTGAACAATCAAACAGCAACGAACAACTCAAACCTCAGGAAAATACTGTGCAAGAGATTGCTTTGTTACTTTCAACAAACTAGGCTGGCTAAACCCAGGAGTATCAGCGAGATAACCTCCTCCACCAAGTGGAAGCAAAGAAACATTACGTGTAGTGTGCTTCCCTCTACCATTTCTCGTCGAAACTTCCCCAACACGCTGGTCTTCAAACCACTTGCTACCCATTATCTAGTAAAACCACATGAACAAAACAGAGTCATCAAACACATGCACAATTCACACATGCACACATTCTACTCAAACCTACAGGTTCAAACCAATTATCTGCTTCATCATGGGAATTGGGTTTATTCCTCAAAGCATTAATCAAGCTAGATTTCCCAACTCCACTTGGACCCAAAATCACTGTCGTTTGATCTCTCAAAACAGAAGCCAAAGTATCAAGCCCCATTTTCGAATCAACACTGCAAAAGAGTGGCTCATAACCCCAACTTCTCAACCTAGAGTTCCAATCACTCAACACCTGCACAAATCCAAAGAAAAAACCCATCACAACCAATTAAAATCAACAACAGGAAACAATCATTAACAACTAAACATTCACCATTGACCATCTTCATAAATAAATCACAAAAATCAGATTCCACATCAACAAAATCAATTGCACCAACCACAATGATCATTAACAACACAGCACCTACCACGTTCCAAGATACTTACACATCATGATCAACAACATCAACAAAAACAAACCAAACTCCCTATCCACAATTCAATCAAACACCAACTTAGAAAACCATTAACAACCCAACGCCAACCAAATTATCGAACAAACCCAAAATCACCAGATCAACAATCCACATTCACAACCCTCAATTCAACTAAACCAATTACAGATCATCAATAACTCCACATCAGCCAAATTCCGAAAAAATAACAGAAGATTCGAACCATCAAAATCACCAATAACCAACCTCTTGATCAACAAGTTCCACTTTATTTAATGCGAGCGTTATCGGAATCCCAGTAGATTCAGCCTCAATCAAAAACCTCGTCAACACAAATGAATCCAACCGCGGCTGCTCAAGCGAAAAAAGAACCAACAAATGATCTACATTCGCTACAGGAGGGTCTAAAATCTCCGAACTCCGTTGAAAAACTTTCTCAATCATTCCTCTCCTATCTGCCCAGTCAATTGACCCAACCACCACCTTATCACCCACCAAAACTCTCCGTTTTATCTTCTTCAACACAGCACGAACCACGCATAGCAATTCACTTCCATTTTTACTAGAATCTTCTATCTCTCTACTTCTAGAAGGTCCGGCGGTGACAATCACGCGCATAAAGTTCGCTTGGGAGGCGGCGACGGTGCCGATGGCTTGAGAATCGGAGAGCTCGGCAGGGGTGTGGTTAGGGGAGAGGATCGGAGAGAGAGTCGAGAAGTCTTTTTTGTGATTTAGGATTTGCATGGCTTTGAGGAGGTTGTTGTTCGGTGGAGGTTTTCCGGAGAGATTGGGCTGGTTTTGGTGTTTGGATGAGGTGATAAGGAGAGAGTGGTGGTTTTGGTGGCGGCTGAAGGTGGTTATGTGGCGGAGGAAGGTGGGCGTGCGATGGCGGAGGAGGGAAAGGGAAGGGATCGGCATGGGTGGAGTAGTTACACGTGATTTTTGTGGGAAACGGAGCTTGTTATGGATGTTGGGATTTTATTGGGGAGGTTTAGGAGGTTAATTATGTGTTAATGGTGATTGATTAAACTAACGAACACGATGATTAGTTTACTGAAGAGTGAAGAACAGTCTGGTAGCAGACTAGCTGTTAGGATTTTATCAGGTGGATCAAGGAACTGTGTTGCAATGCCTTGATTTAAAGTCAAGGACTGAGGAAGTTCAGACACGTGGTTCCATCAAGGAATTTGATTTTAAATACAGGTTTGGGGCTTATGCTTCGCTGCCGCCGTATTCAAATTCAACGACTATATTATAAAGAAAGCAAGCATCGCTAGTTTTTTCTGCATGCAATAAAATACTAAATGAGAATTAAAAACTTGACCAATGTATTAATGAAAATAATACACTATTATATATATTAATAAAAAATATTGTGTGGCTTGTTTGTCTAAAGTGAACTAATCATCTTATTCAAATAATTCAAATAATGATTTTATTAAATAAATATGAACATTGTTATTTTAACTCCTACCTAAACCTATATCAAAAGTGAAATAGTACTTTAATAATTAAATTACAAAATATCTAAGAAAAAAAGATCAACTCATGCCAAACTTTGAAATAGACAACCTTATAATAGATATGACCACATAAATTAACTCGATTAAATAATTTAATTTATATATATATATAAAGGATTAAATTACAAAATATCTATAAAAAAAAATATTAACTCATGCCAAACTTTGAAATAGACAAACTTATAATATATATGACCACATAAATTAACAAGATTAAATAATTTAATATATATATATATATATATTCTTTTTAGTTGAGTCTTAAATGAATTTAATTAATTTTGAGGATAAAATTTAAGAAATAAATAAGTTAACTCAATTAAATAATTTAATTTCTATATATATATATATATATTCTTTTTAGTTGAGTCTTAAATGGATTTAACTAATTTTGAGGATAAAATTTAAGAAATAACTCAATATTTTCGTTTAATTTTATAAAAAGCATTTAAGTTAAAATTTATTAATGTCCAAACATAATTAAAGTAGTTAAGAGTTAAAAGTCAAAAATAAAATAATTAAAATAAAATAATTTAGATTAATTTGCAAAAATAAAATATCTAACAAATCTAGTTAAAGTAGATAGGGTGTGGTAAAGTAATTAAAGCGGATAAAGGCTTCGATTATATTAAAAGTATAGAGTTACAGAAAATCAAGTTAATTTTACTGAATATTCTTCCTGCTAATGATTTCCACAATCTAATAATTGAAATATTGTTTAGAAATTTTTTGCAAGAAACCTTTCCATAAAATAAACATTACTTTATTTTAACTAATAACGAAAGATCCATGTCAACTTACATCTATTTAATACCAAAATTTATAATAGAAAACTTGTAACTTGGAATTTAATTAGAATTTAATTAAATTAATTTTAATATTAACTTGGATAAGGTTGACTTAGCTAGGTTAACGAATTTTTTTTTAAATAGTATTATTTTAAATAAAAATAATAAATCTAATTATTTATATATTGATATAACAATTAGAAGATTTCTAGTATTTATATGAAATTCTTTTAAAAAAATATCAATAATCAATTAAAAAATAAAAAGAAATATATAGAAATAAAACTACATTTTAAAAAAAATCAGATTTCATCTAAATTTGCCATACTGATCGGTTTGCCATACTAATCGGTCTTTCATCTTATTTAAACTGATTTAATTATTAAATCAATCAAATTTTAAGTTAACCTGCTAAACTAATCTGAGTTTAATAACAATGTTTAAAATCTCATGTATTTATCATCCCTTTAAAATCTCATGCACAGAAAGATAGCAACGCTTAAATTCTCATAATAAATTTGGTATTTTTTGTGACGTCTTAAAGGAATGGACTAGATTGGAGCAGAAATACAAAAATGGAATTGGTGGTCATCTGCCATGGAAGCCCAGATGGTAAATAACTATCAAAACCGCTATCACTTGGCTCCTTCAACAAAATCCAAATGAAGAGTTGCTATCATCACAATATGGCCATTGGCATCAAGGCTTGTTTCTGATCAAGTTTGATGGGCAGCTACGATGGATGTTCGGATGCCATGGATCCATGAAGTGCCTGAACCGATCAATGGAAGCTGCAATGGATCAACAATATTAGCATCCAGTAACAGTTATACTAGCTATGAAACAATAACATGGACTGAAATGATGAAAGATCATGTCAGGAGGGGGAGAGCAAAATACATCAGTCAACATGCACCGTCACCATCTAAGCTGAATTACAGTTTAGTAGTTTGTTCTCCAGTAACTGGCGCCTCCGGTGGCGAAAGTAGGCGAATTGAAGCAGTATCTAGTCAAGACATTAAGGTTCGACAGAAAATAGAAGACAATCGGAGTAGTCTTATCCAGGTTGACAATCAAGAAGGGAAACAAAACAACTATGAGTTAACAAGGATACGCAAGTGTCGAGCAGCACACAACCTCCTGCATCCACCAGCCATGGCAGGTTTGCTCTGATCTTTGACCATGCCACGCTATCGACTAGTATGCTATTGAAAAGGTGATCAATGCCAAAACCAAAAATGAAAAAGCAGAGATTTAGATAAATATTATAGAATTCACTGGTGAGACCATACATTGCCAGCATGAAAGTTCAGAGATGACTTGAATCAACAAGACTGAAATCAAAGATGGTAGCAGGATGGGAAATTATATGCACCTTGCTACATAAGTGATATTCCCAATCAAAGCGAAGACAAACATTAATGGATTAAGCCCCTGAATAGCATAGAAATATAAGTTGACATTGTGGGCTGGAGAAACATGTTAGAGATATATAGACTGCACAATTATGCTGTCGAAGTATATCAGTATTTAATGAAGAACACTGAAGTTACAAAAGTCAATATGCTTTACCTCAACGTTGCCCCTCTTGATCTGCAAAATTGATAAACCACGAAATATGATTCAGTGTAGACATTTAGAAGACAAGCATTACTAGTTAAAATTTGATCTAGAGAGAGCAACAATACACCGCAGAAAGTGCAAACATGCCAGGAAAATAAAAAGGTGGGGGGGGGGGGGCATGTATTTCTGTCACAGTTCAACCATTTCTAACATATTTTATCGACTATTTCCTGTTAAATGATAATGACCTTCTGGCATTGGGTAGGAAAAAAAAAAAAGGAACACTGAATACTGATAATACTGGTATATTTTGTTGGGAAGATCATCTCACATTTAGGAAAATTTGAGGAAGCCGTCCACCCATGTAAATAGCAGCCATCGACCAACCAAGGAACGTTCCAATTCCACTTCCATCACTATAATTTTCTTGTGACATTCTGCTACTCGCCTGAAGTCCGAAAAACAAGATAAGAAGATATAAAAAGAGAATATAAAGAACATTTTTTTTTCAGAAAAATTATCTGTAATTAAGCAACACATGAAAGCCAGTGACCGGCTCTAGAACTATGTTTTACTATCATACATATATACTATCCTCCATCTCACATGCCATCCTGCATTTGGTGAATCATCTCTGATGCACTACAAGCATCTAGCTGGATGTCTAACTCAGAAAAAGAAAGAGCAGGAAAAGGGGGATATTACATTGGAGAGACCAGTAACAGAAAGACATGAAATCATCTTTTCTCCACAAAGATTGACAATTTAATTCACCAGGATTACTTAAATGAAACTAAAATTTAATTTGGAATATACCTGCAAGATCTTCCGTCCTACTTGAATCACAAATCCTTGATGTTTATTCTCAAAGGCTCTGGCAAGCCTGTTGTTTGCTGATTGATGAAGATTAAGTGTTCCTAAGAGTGTGAATACAGACACCTGAAATAAAAAGTAGTCCGTGATCATCATAGAAAGTCATTTTGTGTAGAGTTTTTCAGTAAACATGACTGCATGATTGGTATATATACTAACCACACATAGCATGGTTTTGGTGTTCAAATTTGGTGCAGATTGTGTGGTTGCATCTCCACCAAGCAATGGCTCTTCAATCGAATTCCTCATCGAAAATGATGGAGAAGCCATTCTTTGTGCTAAAAAGGATCCTACTGCGGGAGTATGGCTGCTTGAAAGAGATCTTGCTGACCTGAAAGAAAATTACATTTGAGACAGAACCATATTGTATTGAGGTTCTGATTCATAAATCTAAGTCATAACAACAAATTCAAGAATAGAAGTTTACATGTAGTATAGCTCTCTTCCAGGGGAACTTTTTTGAAAAAGTGTTGGAAAAGGAATCGGTAAACTCGAACCATTTGTGCCATCAGGAGAGGCGGTTTCATTTCTCTGTTTACCAGCATTGTTGACTTGTGCTCCATCATCACTATTTCCTTGTCTAATTCTTCCAGCCTCTTCAATCTGACTAGAGATGGGGGCCTGGATCACAATGAAAAGCATTAGCAGTGTATAACATCTGCAAATACTAAACAAGAATCTGAACAGCGTATTAGAAACGGAAGTGCGAAGATTTATTAGCTACCTGCAGAGTCAATAAATAGCGTGTCTGACATCAAATCTATTTGACATATATTTCCATTTATATTTAAGAAAACCAAATTAATGTACATCTGATGAATAAAGAACACATGGTTAAAGAAAACGTGCCAATGGGACAGCCAAATTTATGTTTCAAAGAATTTCCTTATTAAACTAGACCTGGCATTCGTAAATTATAGAATAAAATGCAGCACAAACTCAAAAAAATCAGTCTTTCACTCGAGGCCAGGCTTTGTCTCACAATAGTTAACACAATTTTTTGCCTTCCAATTGGTTTCCTTTTGACTCTGTCCAAGAATTTTGATCTTTCACTCGATAAAATACGTCCTTAATAGTTGAAAATTGTTGTTTCATTATAAGAGAATACATGTAGATAGAGTTCTTACCTTGATGCATCGTCTGTTACGTTTCAGTCGATGATAGATGTGACCATAGTAAATAGTTTGTGCTGTCAGAATTGAGGTAGTAATTGTATACAACTGCAAAACAACAAAGCCATGTAAACGAATCGTTCAAGACAAAAAACTAAATCAAAAGGCAAGTTGGCCATATAAGAAAGCTTTGGTCTTTAGCAGATATCCTTACCACCGCCATGTAGTATTGGGTTGGAAGCTGTAAAATCAAG